GCCCGTACTCCTCCGTACTTTCTGCCTCGCCCGTACTCCTCCGTACTTTCTGCCTCGCCCGTACTCCTCCGTACTTTCTGCCTCGACCGTACTCCTCCGTACTTTCTGTATCGCCCGTACTCCTCCGTACTTTCTGCCTCGCCCGTACTCCTCCGTACTTTCTATCTCGCCTGTAATCCCATGCTATGTTCTACTGTGCAGGGTACTATCCTTCTCTGTTTTCTTTTCGTGTATATAGCGTCAGTGGCGAGCTATTCATAGAAGGCTAAACAAAGGAAAATGCCTCAGTTATTACTCCATGACTCAGAAGGAGAATGAAGCCAAGAAAGGGTTACGGCTATTACGCCTTCCGATTCAGTAAGCTATAGAGGAAGCCAAACCTTATAATGTGAGCATGAGTCACAGTAGGTCTTCGCAAAATTTCATTACGTGCGTTGCGACTGTACACGAAGGTCAAGAGGTCGGCAATCAGGCCCGCGCGAAAAGATTTCTTATTTGTCGAGAATCGAGCCAATCGAAAAAACACTTCGTCAAAATTTGTAGACTGTCATACGTACGTGCGTTACTGTGGCGACTATAGACAGTAGCAGGCGCTCTGCAGTCTATGTAAAACGCATTTATAGTCTTCCTTGCCTAGCGGGTAACGTACACCGACTGAGAGAAATCCACGTGCCTGCTCTAGCCAAGACTAGTAATCGCAGTTGATGCAAGCACGCGAAAGATGAGCAATTGCGCAGTGAATCGGTCGCGGAGCCTCCGCCTGCCTGACGCACAAAGCGCACAATCACGAAGCGAGCCGAGAAGGTCGCGCGCGTGGCTGCCACGAGCGATATTACATGCTGATGAATCACGAAGCCATCCGCGACATCGCTCATAATCAGCATGTGCCGCGAGGAAGAGGCAGCGAGAGTCGAGGGTTAGATCGACGACATCCGCAGCGTTGCGACAACGATACTGTCACCGACGTGTGACCGACGACAACGATACAGTCACCGACGTGTGACCGACGACAACGATACAGTCACCGACGTGTGACCGACGACAACGATACAGTCACCGACGTGTGACCGACGACAACGCAGCATCGCCGCATGGGGGCGCAAGTCCCTCAGTTCACGGAAGCATTTTACGAGACTATACTCTCGCGGCCCATCCATTACGAGAATTGGCATTCACACTCGAAGAAATTCCACTCGCCGAGTTCATATATCGGATAACGACGATGGAAATGCAAATAATATCCTCAGATTCGTCGGTGTAGGAATTCATACGCGTGCGCGCGTTACCAATTACATGACAGTAAGCGGTCGCTGCCCCACTATTGTGTGTCGCCCCCCATAGTGTCGCCTATAAAATCTAATATCGGCACGCAGAGAAAATGCCGCGCGGACATAATAACATTTAATGTGTATCATGCCTCCTCTGTGCGCCGTCGTCGCTTGCGACTACTCACAGACGACAATCTTAACAAGCTCCGGCAGCGCTCTACCCTGCCACGCCTCCCCCCGCCGCGTCCTCCCACCGCCGCGCCTCCCCCTGCCGCGCCCTCTCTGCCACGCCTCTCCCCGCCGCGCCCTCT